GTGTTGTAGTGTTGTGTGCTGTAGTGTTGTGTGGTGTGCTGTAGTGTTTAGTGTTGTGTGTTGTAGTGTTGTGTGCTGTAGTGTTGTGTGCTGTAGTGTTGTGTGCTGTAGTGTTGTGTGTTGTGCTGTAGTGTTGTGTGTTGCAGTGTTGTGTGTTGTAGTGTTGTGTGTTGTCTGCTGTAGTGTTGTGTGTTGTAGTGTTGTGTGCTGTAGTGTTGTGTGTTGTAGTGTTGTGTGTTGTAGTGTTGTGTGTTGTGTGTTGTAGTGTTGTGTGCTGTAGTGTTGTGTGCTGTAGTGTTGTGTGCTGTAGTGTTGTGTGCTGTAGTGTTGTGTGTTGTAGTGTTGTGTGCTGTAGTGTTGTGTGTTGTAGTGTTGTGTGCTGTAGTGTTGTGTGTTGTTAGTGTTGTGTGTTGTGTGTTGTAGTGTTGTGTGCTGTAGTGTTGTGTGCTGTAGTGTTGTGTGTTGTAGTGTTGTGTGCTGTAGTGTTGTGTGCTGTAGTGTTGTAGTGTTGTGTGCTGTAGTGTTGTGTGCTGTAGTGTTGTGTGTTGTAGTGTTGTGTGTTGTAGTGTTGTAGTGTTGTGTTCTAGTGTTGTGTGCTGTAGTGTTGTAGTGTTGTGTGCTGTAGTGTTGTGTGCTGTAGTGTTGTGTGTTGTAGTGTTGTGTGTTGTAGTGTTGTAGTGTTGTGTTGTAGTGTTGTGTGCTGTAGTGTTGTGTGCTGTAGTGTTGTGTGTTGTAGTGTTGTGTGTTGTAGTGTTGTGTGTTGTAGTGTTGTGTGTTGTAGTGTTGTGTGCTGTACTGTTGTGTGCTGTAGTGTTGTGTGTTGTGTGTTGTAGTGTTGTGTGTTGTGCTGTAGTGTTGTGTGCTGTAGTGTTGTCTGCTGTAGTGTTGTGTTGTGCTGTAGTGTTGTGTGTTGTGTGTTGTGCTGTAGTGTTGTGCTGAATGTGTATCAGGCTGATGTCCATCTGCTTTACCTTCGGGTATGGGTAGTGTTTTCCGCCGGGGTAAATCGTCCCGGTGAAGCGCGGCAGCTGCATTTTGGGCACAAGAGTGTCATTGATGGAGAGAAAAGCCAGACTGGATCCAGAAGGAGAAAACCAGTGAGCGACTGCAGAGCGCAGAACCTCCTCTGATGGAGGAACAGAGAAACCCAGAGACAGCGCAATTATGATCATATAAAGCAGCAGAGGACAGCGCTATAATGGCCAAATCATCCAGCTGTGGTGCAGTGCTGTTCACAGCGCTGGTGATGCTGTTTTACCCTCATAAAGCCAGTCCGGCACTCCATTATATACGAGTCCGTCCTGCCCTGAAGACGTCAGTCTGAGAGAGCTGCTCTTCACGTCTGGCCGATAGTAGATGTTATTCTCAAATATGAAGACCTGAGACAGAGAGAACGAGACGAATATCCCCCAGAGAGGAGAACACACACCGTTACTGCTGTAAGACTCAACACACTCTTCAGAGGCTGCATTAATCTCTGAGCTGACCTTATTCTGTCAGGGTAAATACACTTTTCCTAATGCGTTACAGTTTCATTATGAAACCATCATTGTGTTCAGTGTAAAGGTCAACAGAGTGACTCGGCTGACAGATGAGCTTCTGTTGATGAAAGATTTGGCTCAGTAGTGTTTGTTTGTGTGTCTGGTTATTTGGGTAAATGTACGGTGACGTGCTCCACTCTATATGAACACAGGCACTGACTGATCTGTGGCTGTAGCAGAGGAGAGCGCCCCCCGCTGGCTCAGCAACACCACTACCACTGTCCAGAGACTGACAGTACACTGCTTGTCTTGATAGCTCAGTGCAGTGCAGTGCGTGTGTGT